TGTGGCCATTAAAGGAGAGCTTGGTGTCAAATATAACACCAAGGTCCTTAATTTCTCTGATAAGCTGCAGCGTGCTGCCTGAGATACGATACGAGATAACAAACAATTGGGGACTTAGAAAAAGTTACAGGAAAACATTTATTGACATTAAGGGAAAGGCGCGATTGGAGGCACCAAGCATGCAAGTTATCAAGCTCTGTTTGAAGTTTGAGCATGTCGGCAGTGTTCGTTATATTCGAGAATATTTCAAATCGTCGGCGTATAACAGATAATTTGAAAAAGAGAAGCATGAACTAATGTCATTTATAAACAAAACAAAAAGCATTGGCAAGAGAATACTACCTTGTGGCACGCCCGAGGTCGCGACGAAGATATCAGACGAGAAATGTTCTACCGTAACAACGCATCGCCTGCAACACAAATACGACTTAAGCCAGTTTAAGAAGACAGAATGGAAACCTAGGCGTTCGAGTTTCGCGACTAAAATTCTATGCGACACCTTGTCGAAAGCCTTCGAAAAGTCCGTGTAGATACAATCCACCTGTGATGAATTAGAAAAAGCCGAAATACAATATTCACTAAAGACCGCAAGATTTGAGACCGTGGAGCGCCCAGGTACAAAACCATGTTGGTTTGGGCACATAAGGCTCTTGACCGAGAAATACATTTTATTCTTAACGATGCACTCGAACAGTTTAGACACGGTAGACAGTTTAGAAATCGGTCTATAGTTACTTATGTCGTTTTTGTTTCCGCTTTTGAAAATTTGAGTTATATAGGCCAATTTCCAAGCATGTAAAAATACCCCAGAAGAAAGAGACTTGTTAAAGATAATTTTTAATGGAAGGATCAGTGCTGAACAGTTTTTTAATAAAAGTGCGGATACTCCATCAATGTCAGTTCTTGCGGAAGTCTTCAGATCAACAACACCTTTCACTATGAGAGGTATAGGGAACCAAAGCCAAATGAGGAACTAACACCGGATGCTGGGCCAATATCAAGATTTGTGTCTAAATCACATTCGAAATTGGATTTGAAGAAATCAGCAAACAGACTTTGCTGTGTGAAATCATTTTTTTTATGATTTTAGATTGAAAAAATGTAAGCCATACTACCAGACAAAGGGAAAAAGAATGAAATCCTACTTATAAATATTTCATGATTAAAATTTTAAATAATTTCACAGTTTCACAGCTCTGCATAGAACTCAAGGCGCATTCAGATACGAGGTTCTTTACCTAAAAAGTTTGCTCTCAAGAAACGGAAAGTAATACAGAAGTACGGGAACGCAAAAGACCCCATTTTGTGCCCAGAATTTGACAAACAGCTGATTCACGTTGTTTTTATTTTTGTCACTTAAATTCAAACTCTTGGAATTTTGGTTGCACAAATTTGATTTTAAGTATATAAAGATTGACAATACACCAACAGGCTATTCACTACTCCTAAAAAGCGCCAAGTAAATGCAGGCAACATGTAAATACAAAACAGCTGATATGCACTTTGAAACTTTATCCATTTTTACCCGGAGAAAAAGTCCGGGCTGTTTCGGGCACGAAGAAGTACTTACGATCCAATACGTTCCAATCTTCGCTTTCTATTACCCATTTTGTTGAGTACGGGAAAGATTTCTGGGCTTTTTTGGGCACCCGCGGGATCCCACGTTGCGTACGGGAAAGAACATGAGGTGATGTTGCTAGAACAGCTGCTTTAATTCGCCTCGGTACACATATGTCAAAACTCCCTATGAGTGAGTGCGAAAAGAAGTGTTGGCATTTTCTTTCCCTCTTCCTCCTGGATCAAAGAACAGCTGAAATTTGACATTTGTGTGCCGAAAGCGAAAACAAAATACATGTTAGTTCTTGTTTTTGTACTACTACTACCGCCTTATATTAATGCGCCTTGCTAGAAGACGCTCGAAAATTCGACTTTTCTCACTCTCTTGTTCTTGCGTCCACTTATGTCGTTCGTTCATGTATGACATCAGAAGTATTCGAATCATGTCGTTTTCTAAACTTTTGAGCTAGCCTGTGCTTGTTTCAGTTCCATTCGTTTCACTTCTCGTTGATAAACCCATTTTTTCGTACTCGCTGATTTTACTCATTTGATTCGTCGTAACATTTGCAGAAAAAGATATCTTGTGCTATAAAAGTTATTTAAAACTGCATTTTTATAAAGAAAAGTTCTTGCAAACTAGAATCAAATATTATTTGCTGAAGCAGGGAGCTAAAAAAGTACTTTATGTTTTTCTGAATTTCATTTACAGCGTGTAAAAAAATCAAGGTTTGTTCAAAGAGAGTAGCGTGGAGAAACAAGAATGGCGAAAAATTTTCAAAATGGCAGACCCATGCACAGGGCCGCTGCTATGCCGTACAAAAAACCCTTTAAAAATGTAGGAAACGGCGGTGGTGGACCTGGACGCGGTGGAAACTTCAATCAAATGATGTTCAATGGAAGTCAAATTCCTGATAATCCCGGTTATCTGGACTTCAATAATCCATCGCCTGCACTTGGTGGAGGGGGAGGAAATGGAATGGGTCAAATGCAACAAAAAAAGAAAAACAACAAGAACAAACAAAAGGGGAAACCACAATCACAATTCCAGCCACCAAGTGGTAATACACAAAATCAGCACAATGGTGGAGGAAACTGGAATAAAAATAAAGGAATGCAATTTCAGGGCCCAAATGGGCCAAATAATAATAGATTCAATAGCGGCAATCAGGGTGGTCCGCGTAATTTTAATAACGCTGGTCCAATGCCAAATGGGCCGAATCGTGGACGGCGTATGGGCCCACCACCAGGCCAAGGCCCACGTGGAAATGCTGCAATGCCGCCAATGCCACCACCACACGGATTCCAGCCACCGATGATCCCACCGATGGGTCGAGGTCCAATGCCTCCACCAATGGGCTTACAACCACCACCACCGTTTCTTCGTCGTAGCGGACGTGTTGGTCCTATACCACCAATTCCCCCACCAATGATCCCACCGCGCATGCCTCGTGCATTGCCTCCAGCAGCATTTAATAATGCCGGTAAAATTAAGAAACCCAACACAAAGATAGTAAAGAAGGTGGTAAAAGGCAAAAGTACAATAAAAACACTAAAGAATCTTGTTAATCAGTATCCGATTGAAAAGCCCTGGGTTACTGATGAAATACGCGTTGAGCATGATAAGAAAATTGATATTGAAAATAGGCTCAAAGGCAATAAAAACGATGATTTGTTCGCACAGTTCAAAGTGCAACGAGACAAGTTTGTATCGATGTATGAAACGGCACGTGAGGAATATTTAAAAAAGGAGGCGGAGGCTGTAAAGGCAAAGGTAAAAATAAAAAAAAAAACTATTGTTTAGTAAATTGAAAAAATTCTCTCACAGTAGTAAAACTCAACTACTTTGATTTTAACTTTGGTACATTTCATTAATGTATTGAGTAGAAACCTTTGTGATAGTTTGGCGATCTTAATAAACTTCAATGAAATATAATAATCTAAAGTCTATAAGATGAAAATGATTGCATATACCCTAGCATTGAATAAAAAACGAAAGATGAATAAAAATTAAGCAATTACTAACAAAAATTCATTACTAGCAAAAGCAATTGCTTAAAAATGTATTTCTTGGACTAATAAGCAATTGCTCCTTAACAATAATAGATTGGCACTTACACAATATTCTAATGTTTGGCCGAGCATCTCCATCGATTTGTGGTAAGCGCCTTCATGTTGTCACACAAAGAGGAGGGACCTACAGTTTTACGGCGACTCCTAACGGCGATTGTATTGTTATGAGAAGCTCTTATTCAAGGCTGACATACTCTGGTAAGGTTGCCGTTGCCTGCTCAGAAGCCACCGTTATTAGAAAAAAAACCCAGACCCTGTGGAATGGTAGCGCGCACTGCTAACCACTGCGGCCGCACCTTGCTCCTTATATGGATAATAATTTATTTATTTATTTCGTTTTATCTATGAATTTACCATACTTACATACTAAGCATGGGTAAAGTTGAAAGTAATATTAATTACCAGTGTTGCCAACTTTTGAGTTTCAAAAAGCACCAAAAAGCGCTTTACCGCACTAAAAGCACTAATTTTTTTTAAATCAAATGATACTTTTTTTTAATAACAGCTTGTGGTAAACAAAAGTAAAAAAATAAACAATATTTACATGTATAAATAAATACACATTCATGCTTACGAAGTAATACCGAAGTACTGCACATTAAAACTGGTACCTCTGGAGAAAGAACAATCGCAACAAACGAAATTGAATTTTGAAGGGGAAGAGTAATACTCATGATAAAAACATAGCAAGGTAGAACCGTTCTCTCAATTTGTCGGCCATGATTTTTTTTTGAAGTTTGCCAACATTTTAAAATCATATAAAAGTGAAAATAAAAAATTGAAATTGTTCGAAATTGTTGTTGCTTGAGATTGAAAATGAAAATGTGTGTGTGAGTTTGTGAGTAAATTTAAACATTAAATTGTTTGGAAACGTCAAGAATTTCAAAAGTGACTCAGCGGTTCTACCTTACTATATTTTTATCATGGTAATACTTAATGATAGCCTAAGTATAAATGAGCGAACAAATTTGTTGTTTTATAATTAACCGTGTTTTTATACTTAGCGGCATCGGCGTAGCCAGAATGAAATTTAGGGGGGGGCTCGACCCTATTAAGCTGGCATTTCAGGGTACTATTTTGTATATATGTAAGGAAAATTTAAAAGTTATGGGGGGGCTCGAGCACACCCCCGCCCCTACCTGGCTACGCCCATGCTTAGCGGTTAGAATATCTCAAAATTCTGACGTAGTAGAGAAATTCCAGCCAGATTTGGATTCAGCACCGAAAAATCTACAAACACCGATGAACTCAGGTGGCAAAAAAAGTTAAAATTTTTCGAACTGTGTAATCAATCAATAATCAAGAAAATAAAAAAAATAAATACTTAACTTATCTGCGTGATAGCATTTTCAACGCGAATACAATTTAACAAGAACGCAAGAGCGTGGGTTTGCAACTTCATCTTTTTATCAATCATGGTTTGCATTTTAGTGCATTTAAATTCGTAGATTCTTGTAAATTCAGAAATTAAATTTTAGCGCTAAATCTAGTGCTTAAAGCACCAAGTTGGCAACTATGTTAATTACAATACAGTACAAAGACCAGTTAATAAAGGTTTTACTTGGGAATTTAAGCCAAATTTGGTGGATAAGAGGTCAAGGTCCAAAGAAACAAAGATCTTATTCAATTCAACGAGAGTTCTATTAACCGGGCATTAAATCTATATACGGTCTTGCTGGTGACAACATAAAACACATCATAATGACGCAACATTCTACATGGAACACTGAAATTAATTTTACCTAACAGTACTGGACTATCATAGAGCCGGAGCTTATTTCAAACAGAAAAGAGGTTGATAAAAGTATTTGTCTGTTGTGCAGTGTCATTAGGTTGATCAACTGACAGCGAGAGCTATATTCAGGCTTAGGTTTAAAGAAGTGTTTTCGGTGGTAGGGCCTCCAAATTAAAACAGCATTCTCTAATATCGAACGGTCATACTTTTACTATCCAGTTTTACGTTTTTACTAATAAGTGAATAAAACAATGTTCTTTAAAAAAATATATGAATAGACTTTTTGCTACTTTTCTCTCTTTACTCTTCTGGTACACAATTTTGATAGCCTGGACCGGAAATTGTGCGCAAAAGCAACTTCATCCTCTTAAAAGCCAATAACGCACCTCGTCCAAAACAAAGGTAACAAGCTACTCGGCGTTTTCACGACAATCGACATAGCGTTCGCGCATTATAATATTTTTCTTTACGAATAGTCAAAAGCTGCGATATTATTACTTGGCGAGAGTAAAAAAATTCAAAGAAAACTAATTTCCATAAATTTAGCTTGGGGTATAGCTAAGGTGACCATATTTATGAGAGCCGAATACGGGATAAAAGATAAGTTTGGTAATTTTTTTCATATTGTTTTCCCTGAAATAGTATCCTTATAGTAACATCACAAATTTGTAGAATAATTTTCTCGAAATTTTAGTATAATAAATTACAATTTTCAGTCGGTAAGGCTTACCACTAATTTTTTGCAATTTTTTTTTTGTTGACGGTGTAAGGCTTTTTTTATACAAGGTGAGTATGTTCGACCATTATTATTTTTTTTTTGAAAGAGAAGCAAATGAGCAGCACTTTCCACTCGCACTTTATTATACTCAATTTTAATGAGTTACAAAACTGCAAACCAAATTTTTTTCTAAAGATTCTAATTAAAAAGTTTGAAATTTGGCGAAACATTGCGGAGTTAAGTTTTATAGTTCTTTGCACAAAGTTGGAAATTCGTTATTACGTATACATATGGGTTTTGTTAGGAAAAGAGCTTTACTTTCATACGAGTCCTAATTTCTATTTTGGCCACTGTATGTATTCCTCGATTCGAATCACAGGCATTCAGATTAGAAAATAATTGTTTATAAAGAAAATTACCATCATATACCAACATCACTTAAAACTCGTTCATAGGCATGCCATTTTAATAAGCTGTTAAGGCGTCGGAACGCCGAATACGGGACAAATACAGGACATTAAAGAATTACAAAACATTTGTCATCCCAGATAAAATAAATAAATTACCAGGATAATAGGTCAAAAAAGAGGTCTATCCCGTATAATACAGGACGGATGGTCACCGTAGGTACAGCAGACTTAAAAAATCGTAAGCAAATTCTACCCTGCAAAAGTAAATTCTAGTTTTATTGATTCTAAATTGAGAAATTCCTCACATAAATAAACAATTGCTGAAGATATTTAGCAATTACTGCAATTGCTTTTTCTAAAGGTAATTGCTTGAAAATATATTTATACAAATTTACGTAGAAATTCAGTAATCATAGAAAAAGCCATTGCTTAGTTTTTATTCATCAGGCTCAATATGCACATGCACCGCCAAACAGTCACATACGAATTTACGCCCATCGGAGACTTTTCAATAATTCAAAGTATTTTTTTAAGACTTTGAAAAGTTTGCTTTTGGGATAACAATAACACTTTTTATATGTTTTATTATAAACAATATGCATAGTCATATCGAAAGAGTTTTAAATGAAGGCATAGTGCTCGGATATTTAAGCAAAGCTATATGCCTCCTCTTTAGAAACAATTCAAGCAAGTGTAGGAACTGTGAATCAATCAGTAGCAAATATTTTCGTTAAATAGATCTATTTTAAAACTCTTTTGATACGGGCTATATTGTTAAATTCATATGGTTTCTTGATATTCGTATGTGTTTTGTACGCATAAAACAATACCTATCAGTCTGTTATACGTACCTTGAAAGATTCCTGAAAATAAATTGCCTACAATTAATGCAAATACGTATATTTCCTGTTGTTATCATTGCATTACATCACTGCCATGGTCTAGTAAGTGTTCGTATTGCTACTAAAGCGTGAAATGTTCTAGTTTTTTTGCGCAACGTTCGGAATCTATAAATTTAGGATATACATACATACAAACACTTCACATGGCTGATTTGATGCTATTTAAATATTCTTGTTTTAAACAAAATGACAAATGGAGAATATTTAATAAGAAAATTTTTATTGTTTTCTTAAACCATGCTTTGGGCGCATTTATTTGCAGGATGCTAAAGACAAACAAACAATTAACAAGACCGCTACAAAGGAAGCAAACAAGAAAGAAGCAAAAGCAAAGTAAAAAATCTGCGTCAAATAATTAGATTAATAATATTGGTGAAAATCTGGGCGAGTTTATTTAAATTTGCTACTACAGAGATTTGTAAATCAGATTTTAAAGTTAATTAATGAACTGTTTGAGTATTTGACATTGCAATGCAATAAAAAATAGTAACCAAATTTTAAATAAACACAATAAAACATAATTTAACAGAAATGGTTTATATAACTGTCCATACGTAGTGTAACTTAATAAACAAAAATTTGCGATTTATAAAAAAAAAATAGAAAGTTGTAAGCACATTTCCGATATTTTTATCTAAAATTTGAGTCAAATGAAATTTTTAAATTAATTTTTACTCACTTTGCTACACAATTTATTGATACAAAATTTGTTATGAAAATGGCAGTTACATATAATGAACAGAATTATATATAAAATCAGTAAAAGTATGAAAGCAAATACAGCTTCGACAAAAGATGTTTGCATATGATCACTTTATGTCAGTTATAAATTGGATATTTTCCGCTAAAATAATGAAAATAGAATTAACAAAACAAGAACTTAATTTGTAAGCAAAAGCGCAACATTATTGCTTCAATAAATATTTTCACTTATATTTTGCCGTTTGTCAATAACATTGTATATTTACTGCAAGTTAAAAGTAAAGTTTTGCAGTATATTATATAAGTTGATTTCGATTATATAACATAACACAATTAAAGTACAGCTAATTTGTGTTTGTCAACCATTTTCTCCGCGTATAAATTTTAAAGAAGGAATGTAACAAGCATTTGCTGGCAAAAAATTCCTGACACATAAAATTCAACATTCAAAAGCAATCTTAGTAAAACTATAGTAAATATTTAAAATACATAAATTGAAATACATATAAAAATGTTCTCGGCAAATAATTCAGATACGATTAAATTGCTTAATAGTCCTTAATTTATCAGTACTAATTACAATAATCAAAGGATGAAACGCGATGAGCTTATCCTGTGCAGATGGTGCAAAGGAATAATGCGATAAATGTTATTTGTTTGTCTTGAGTCAATTGGAGGGCTGTATCACATACTTGTACATATGTATGTACATATATGGCGTTTGAGCGACCAACCTATTGTTTATGTTGTACATAGCTGCAGCAATAAACTGCCGCTTGCTAGCAGTAAATAGTTCACATGACATATTACAGACAACGTTGTCTAAGGCAATTTCAAAATGATTGAAGTTTCATGAGGAAACGGATTTAACACAAACCACATAATCGATCTTTATATACATGCATACATATACACATAAACGTATATACATACATACCTATAAATGTACTAAATGTCTATTTCAGCGTGAAACCTTAAATAAAATATTAGTAAATCAATGTTTGGGAGGTGCGTTGTATTTTATTTATCGTCAGTCGAAGCATTTCTACGAAGTGAAAAGCTTAAAACGGATGTAAATTAAATGTAAGTATGCCTTTTTAAAGTGATGTACTGGCATGTTTTGCAAACTCTACGATTTGAAAGCGGTGCGATGTGCTAAAAATTTTTGAATATTTATAATAAATATTACAAATTGAAACTACTAGAAATAAATCATTTACCCACCTATTTAGTGCCAATTTTTGCCATTGTCTTCTAAATCGCAAAGATTTCAAATCGTGAGATTTGCAGAAAATGCCTGATAGTCATTGATAAGAGTACGAAATTCCTTTTGGCATGGATGCCTTTATCAATATCATACAGTCAGCGTCAAAAATTATGAATACTCTGACGTTGATTTATATTCTCCGTAACAAATTTTTCTTATTTTTTTTATAAAAATATACTAGTTCATTTAACAGCAAAAACCAGCAGAATAAATTTTTTCAATTTCATATAGAACCCCGGAGAATTCAAGAAATACTAAAAAAATTTCATCAAAATTTAAAATTTTTGAAATCCATTAGAAAAATTTTGGATATGCAGTACAGGTTTACGCCTACAGGCTTTGCGGTGGAGGCGTCGTCAACTTTAAAAAGAATCGCAACGCCGGCACAACTGCCAATAAGATAGATTCCAAAGAGCCATAATCTAAAGTTATCATGTACTCTCGTCAGCGTAGGCATTCGCCATCCCAATTCAGATTATAATTCTATTTAATTCATTCTTGAATTAGTTTTAAATTTAAATATTGTTACTTCCTACTTGATTTAAATGATGAGTGCCTGGCGCTGATGGATGGGCGAACAGAAAAAGGTCTGAGGGACATACATACATACATGGTTTGCTATGTTCTCTAAAGATCGGTATGTACTATCTAAATTTAAAGGTATAAAAAAATTAAAAAAGTTAAGTTATTGGAGTAACTAGCCGGCCTCGTAAGCGCGCGGCTTCGCCACGCTTTGATTATGTACATAAGTAAGAACATATACGTATCAGGTGGCAACCCTATTAAAAAGTAAAGTCTTGTTACACACCTAATGGCCAATCCCTTTCATTTGACATCTTATGTATTTAATGTAACGAACGGTGTGGATCTTAAAATTTTTTAGACAGTCGGCAACTCTATTAAAAAAAATATAACCTTATAGCACATCTGGAGACCTTATCTCATTTAACGACTCACTATTTAGTCCAACGAACAGCCCACATCTTATAATTTTTCGTATTGGAGGCAACCCTCTTCGAAAATATACTACCTTGTTGCACATCTGAACGCTAAGCCTTTTCCTTTGAGACCAAATTTTTTTTAATGAATGAACTGCGCAAATCTGATGTAATTAATAAAAAATTGCACGTGTCAAGTTAGCACTACACTTTACGAAATTGGAAGAGTTATTTACGGCATTAATTGTAGTGTTTTTGTTGTAAATTTGTAGCTCTCGTTTTTTAAGAAAAAATGGTATGAAATGCTAACTTGGCACCATACACCTAGTCGATAGAATTGAGATATCCAATATGTTACTATGCCATTACTTGTAGCTTTTAACTTTAAAATTTGTTGTGGAAAGAAAAAATTTGTAGCTCTCGTTTTTTAAGAAAAAATGGTATGTAGTGCTAACTTGACACCATACACCTTGTCGATAGAATTGAGATATACAGTATGTTACTATGCCATTAATTGTAGCTTTTAACTTTAAAATTTGTTGTGGAAAGAAAAAATTTGTAGCTCTCGTTTTTTAAGAAAAAATGGTATGAAGTGCTAACTTGACACCATACACCTAGTCGATATAATTGAGATATCCAATATGTTACTATGCCATTAATTGTAGCTTTTAACTTTAAACTGCATACCAATTTTTCTTAAAAAACGAAAGCTACAAATTTTTTCTTTCCACAACAAATTTACAACAAAAAAGCTACAATTAATGCCGTTATAACATTTTCAATATCTCAATTCTATCGACTAGGTGTATGGTGTCAAGTTAGCACTACATACCATTTTTTCTTAAAAAACGAGAGCTAAAAATTTTTTCTTTCCACAACAAATTTTAAAGTTAAAAGCTACAATTAATGGCATAGTAACATATTGGATATCTCAATTATATCGACTAGGTGTATGGTGTCAAGTTAGCACTACATACCATTTTTTCTTAAAAAACGAGAGCTAAAAATTTGTTCTTTCCACAACAAATTTTAAAGTTAAAAGCTACAATTAATGGCATAATAACATATTGGATATCTCAATTCTATCGACTAGGTGTATGGTGTCAAGTTAGCACTACATACCATTTTTTCTTAAAATACGAGAGCTACAAATTTTTTTCTTTCCACAACAAATTTACAACAAAAACACTACAATTAATGCCGTAAATAACTTTTCCAATTTCGAAAAGTGTGGTGCTAACTTGACACACGTAAAAATTCCTTCACTTGTTATGTGTAAGGTTGTAATTTTTAAATAGGTGGCAACCCCACTAAAAAAATTAAAGCATTGCACATCGAAGATCATGTCCTTTCACTTCTTTTTTTTTTAATTGAGTGAACTATGAAAATCTAATGTATCTAATTAATAAAAATGAGATTATTTTTAAATAGGTGGCTACCACGCTCAAAAAAATTAATGCTTTTTGCACATCCGAAAACCATATCCTTTCACTTGGTATCTCATTCTGTAGTCCAACGAACGATGATCTTATAATTTTTAAAAAAGTGGCAAACCTACTCAAAAACTCATGCAGCGTTTTTGCAGCATTTAAAATGCAACGTTTAGCACTTTCGAACATATGTCTTCGAAGAGCGTTCATGCTATCGCATTTAGCAAATGTACACTTACGCGAGTTCGAAATCGTGTGCTTTTGACAAACAGCCGTGTTCCAGTCGCTTATTCAGATCCGTATCTATTACGATCAATTCTCACGCAGAATATAATGTGCAAAAACGCTATTGAAAAGGAAAAAGTAAATTTTAAACCAAAAATTCAATACAAAAACTTGAATTGTTTTAACCATAACCGAACATTTGTTTATGTATATATTAATTTGTGGGTGCCGTCAATTAAAATTTCCTCACTTAATTAGGAAACAAAACAAACAGAGTTGATAACAAATTGATCCAGATTTCTATCAGCATTACATCGATGTTGAATTTCCTTAACTTTTCTTTATCCTAATAATGTATACTGTGCTAATAATGTAAAATAATAAATTAACCCTCGATCGGCGATCACTGAAACGCAGGTAGCCACTGTATACTCGAAAAAGCAATGTTGCCACTTTTTCTCATTAAACCATGTTTGAATCGTGGAAATTTTGGAAGATCACAGGGTTGCTTTTAGCATTTAGATTCTTAATGCAAAAATGGAGTTGCATTTGGTTGTACTTAGGTGACGAATTTTGTATGGGTAAATGTACATTTAGTGTAGCATTTAGAGCTAAATGTGCTTTTACGCGTAAGCAAAAACAGCCCATAACACATTACTGAACATATAGTAGAGCTGCAAAAACATCGGAGCACTATCGATAGTATCGATGTTTAAATATTTTTTTGAAAACATCGATGTTTTTCTTACTATCGATGTTGATTTGGGGCAGGCAAGAAGTATAAAAATTAAAGCGTAATAAATTCATAACCTTTAACAGTACGCAAAAGCGTACCAATAAGGGTTCAGGGAAGTAATTACCAGGACCAAAAAATTTAAGCTTACCGCCTGCTGTCTTACTTTTTCCTTACGAAATAATGGAACGGGCATATATTTCTGTTGAAAACAGGGGTGCCTGTTAATCTTCACAAGCAAACTTTAGCAAACCATAGTAGAAAGCGTAGCAAATTTCTTAAGAACTTCGTACTGCTTAAGAAAATTTGGCTCTATAAATTTTTCTTGACCATTTCTTGGGCTTTTTTATTCGTCGAACTAAATAAATGTTTGAAAATAATCATGATATAAAAATTTGAAGGTAAAAGCGCTGAGAGACAGCCTGGACATTTTTGAAGTTTGCTAGCAGAACAAAAATGTTTTCAAATTTTCAATCTCACAAATACATTCTCACTTCCATTCTCAAATAAAAGAAAATTTGAATATATTCATATACTTGTTTTTTGTTTTACTTGAGTTGCTCTCAAAATTTCAATTTTATAAAGTGGACAAACTTCAAAAAATAAATGATGGCCGACGAATTGAGCGAGCGGTTTTACCTTGAAATATTTGTATCATGGAAAATAATAACATATAAAAACAGATCTAGTTTTTATTAACCCGCAACTTTAATTTCATTTCTGCCTGGATATAAAAATTTAATGCCAATGGTTTGTCTCTACGGGAAGCATTGAATACCGAATAACGAATATTTAAAAAAATTAAGACCAACCAACGCAGATCTCCATTATTTGAGAATATCGAGCAAAACTAGTGTGTCCATTGTAATTTTTCAATCCTTGAAGTAAACTGAATAAAAAACATTAAACTGTATCTAATTTTTGTTGTTTTGCGAGCATATTTACCGATGTTTTTGTGCTTATATAAGCGCTTAAAACGGATGTTTTCTTGCTTATTTTCTTCAGCCCTGGTTACTGATTACTAATAAATTGATTTTGTCAGTGCGATCTCTAATTGGGAAAATTAAGAATAAAAACCTGAAGTGTACCCTGGATTAATTCCTTTATACGCTGGTGAGTTTTCGACGTTGTTTCAGACCAGGCATGCCCAACGCCGGCAGAACTCCATAAGCAAGTGCCCTGCGCTGGCAGAATTCAATAGGCAAGTGCCCTGCGCTGGGCACGGCTGTTTCAGACCATTGCTGATCTGTGCGGTGATAGCGTTTAGTGCTGCTGTTTTGCTACGCATTTTCAAGCTGTGGAGAAGCACTTGCATGAAAATTGGTTATAACTAAAAATCTCCAAAATTTTTAAATGTTTGCAATTTTAGCGAGCTTTATCTTGCGTCAACAGAATTTGTATACAATTTTTTTAGTGGAAGATGTTGCTCATTTTCTTCATACAAAATATAATTCTCGAATTTACTTGTATGGAAGAACTTGCGTGAAAAAAATTACCAAAAATCAACGAGATTTTCTACCGACTTCAAACTTGCATTAAATTTGAATGGGCTATAAAACTGCATACTTATAATTTTTCTAAAAGATCTGAATAAAAAGTTGCAAATTAGAGTGCAAATTTAATGAATTTTCTTGAGTTTTGCACAAAGTTTAAAGATTTTATTATTATGTTTTCTGGTGTAGAATGAACAATCTTTTTATAAAAAAATTATCGAAAATAAATAAGAATAAAAAACTTTGCATATATTGCGAAAAATTTACTGTGCCAATACTTCTGTTCGGCACTGTATATATTCTTAGGAAAATCTTACTCTGTACTGTTCAGCCACTTGAAATTATCTAAAATCGTAGCTTGTGAAATATCACATTATCAATGAAACACGTTACTGGCCGTCTCCACAGGATAAAATTTTTCTGCTGCCCAGCTGTCATTTTGGTCGCTAGATATAAGTTATATTAGTGACAATATTTGTGTGGGATTTTTATATCTTGATATAAGCATTTGTAAGATAGCTTCGAAAACGTATTTTTGCCAGATTCAATCGCTTAAAAAATTTAGAAAATAGGCTAGTTTACATCCAAATGCATAATTACAAATAAATTAACAGGAAGCAGCTCAATTTTTGCTTTTATATTAAAATAATAATGATGTTGTAGCCACGAAGTTTTCGTGCAAATGAAAATGTAGCTTTCAAACTACCGAATTGCCGGCAATAGATGGCAAGATATAAGCTCTGATATATATTGCTCTCGAAGAGCAATGAGCGGTCTCCATTGGCAAATTATATTCTGACATATGTATCAAGATATAAACTTTATCCTGTGGAGACGGGCAGTTAGTTGGCTTATAGTGAAGCGAAAATCAATCGCAGAAGTTTTATTTCTTAGTCTGAGAGATGTGTTATAAACTGTTTACATATATAAATTATTACTCATCTACCGTTGTATTGACAAGGTCGCCAGAGTCACTCGACGCTGGTTCTGTACTTACAGTTTCTTTTTGCTTTTTCCACATTTTAGCTGCAGCAAGCAGTTTAAGATTTGGCCGTGCCATTTCATCTTCAGGGAATATGTAATCAAATATTTCCTCCCACCCTTCTTCCACTCCACTTTCTGATACGATCTTTTGACGCTTTTTCACGCGACGGGGCATTTTCTCCATCACCTTCTTTAGTGTGTGAACATCGCCCGCTTCTCTTTCAAAGTCACGCCATGCTTCTAATAACAATACACGCGACTCTTTGTCACCAGAAGTGCGCAAAGTGTCATTGGCACGCTCATAGACACGTCTCGACAGTTTTATATTTAATTCAGGATCATCGTCGGATAATTCAGCGCCGTGTTGTGTTAATTCGAACTTGGCGTAAGACATCCATACTTTCACATGATGCGTGCGCTCCAAAAGACGCTCATAAAGCTGACGTGCCAACTCAGTCTCAGTCTGTGATACTTCAAAATCAATATACGCTTTCCACAGTAGCTCGGGCATGTCGAGTCGCGGCTGTTGTACCGCCAGCTCATAGATAGCGCGCGCTCGGTCGGTGTCACCAAGTAAATTTTCAAGCTCTGCGAATTTCATCCACGTAACGCAATTCTCCGGACCGAATTCGAGAAACTTTTCATAAAGTAAGCGACAGCGATCGAATTCACGTAGTTGAATTTCCAACTCAATGTATCCTCGGAAAAGCTTGTCCCGCGGGCTCATACCAATCGCCATTCCTAATGTTTTACGTGCCTTTTGTAATTCTTTACATCGAATTTCAAATTGTGCATACATTAGCCAAATTTTACTGAATGTAAATTTTTTGTGTGGAATAAGCTCAAGGCAGGTTTTATATATTTGTCGAGTGCGTTCTAAATCTTCAGCTTCCAGTTCTTCGTAGAGGGCATAATTTATCCACAAGTAAATATAACGACGCCAATAGTTTTTCTCATTAGCCGGTGGGACGTTGGAGATGGCTCGTTCATATGTTTCTCGTATGACATCAACGTCACCCTCACCTGCGTGTAATGAAAGAGTTATGCAATTTGAATTAGCAGCTGATTTATTTATGTTAAAAATATCAGTTTCCAAAGCATGTACATATCGTTGATGAAACATATCGTTAATGACTAACACAAGTCATTTTTTTAGGAGAGATAAAAAACGCTATATAATTGAAATAATAAAATGTTTATCGAAAATTATTGATGGAATTTATGTTAAATATCAATAGCTAACATAGGCTGACTTCCAAAACGTCAATTGCTTTGTATACGTACAAAGTATAAGGTTCCTTAACAACTTCCTTGTCCAATGAGTCATATGTGACTCACGAGAGCGTGTTGAAATAAGTTCATGAGTCACATGTGACTCATTTTTGTGTACAATTTCGGACAACGTAAAAATATATGAAAGAAAATTTCGAGATTTTTTTCCTGAAAGTTCTCTTTTAGTAAAAAAGAAAAAGCGCAAGAAATACAGGTTAGGTTAGGTTAGGTAAGCGGGCTGCTTCCGCATGTGGAGGCACACTTGGACTCCACTAAGCTGTCCGCTGTGATTCCCTCAGAGGGGGGAGGGAAAAAGGGACGGAGGGAGGGGAAAGAGGAGGAAGCTATGGGAGAATGACGACACCTATGGCTTTTTGCCGGACAAACGCTCCGTGCTCACAACGAAGCTCTTCAGTCGACTGATGTCCACTCCCGAGAGCTCATCGAGAGCCTTACAGCATGGTTACCAATCACACAGTGACCAGTAAGCAGTCCCACTAATAGTGAGAGATGCAGCTTGCTTAGTCTCGAGAGCTCCCAAACCCCCCCTCCCCTCGGTCCACCCGTGGCCAGAAAGACTTTGCCACCTTGCACTCCAATACCAAGTAGGTATCGAAACAATGATACGAGTAAAAAAAGTAGTTTTTATCGAAACAAAAGTATCGAGTACATACTTGTATTTACTTGTATCGGAACATCCCTAAATGTAACTCAAAAACAACTTTGCTCGATGTGTTCACATGTGACTCATTGAACGTGGCAAAGAAACTGTTTCGTCCTACGTCCATGAGTCACATATGAGTCATAAAATAAAATAACAAAAACAAGTTAAAGCAATATATAACAATTTATAAAAATTATATGTTATGGTATATATGGACGTTCTTTAGCATATTAGAGCAAAAAACCTGTGGACGTGGGGCATTAACAAAATGCATTGTATGAGGACAGGGAAGTTGTTAAAGGCCTGTATGCAGCTCTCAAGAAAACGGTCAAGAAAAATTTGCCATTATTTCGTGTGTGTGTCCAAGGAATTTTGACATTTTTGATACTTCACAGCCTGTTGCCTCACTCTTTCCTCAAGAAATAATGGAACGGGCATATATTTCTGTTGCAAACCTGGGTTGCCTTGTGCTCTTTTTTCACAAAAAACTTTAGAAAACCGTAGTAGAAAGCGTAGCAATTTCCTTAAGAACTGCGTACTGCCTTAAGGAAATTTGACACAGAAAATTTCTTAGCCATTTCTTGTACGTCATTTTATATGGAGTTTTTGCTTTTCTTGAGAGCTGCATACAGGCCTTAACGTCGAATTACAAAATATTGACAATGTATACTGTTCCAAAACGCAGCCGATTAGTTATTGAAACGTATCGCTTGAGTAATCAGCGCATCAGAAACAAAGTTGATGCTTCGTTTGCTATTGGTTAGCATTGGTGTTTTAAATGTGGAAAATTCAGAAAAATTGTTCATTGCTATATTGAATATTTAAAATATGCAATGCATATGGTTGCATTGTGTCGCAACTCTGCATATACAAACAGTTTGAATACCGCAGTATAACAGTTTCCAAACATTGTATTGATACGTTTTGGAAGTCAGCCATAATTTAAAACAATTTAAATTTTTTTATCAATTATGTACGTCAGTTAGGGCCTTTGTGAATGCGGAGTTATGAAGTAAATGTTTCAGTTAGGGCTTTTTGAATTCATCTTATTACATTAAACGAGCAATTATTGTATATATATATCCATAGGGTTCTCGGAAACGGCTCTAAGTTACAAATTAATTAAAACTTCATAATATGGGTATCAAATGGAAGGTATTTTAAAGATCTCCAATTCAAAAATATTTTAATAGGATTGCCCCCTATTTTTAATCGCAAGAGAAGTTTCTTAAACAATGCTTTCCCTATATAGAAAAAGTTATCCTTTAAGATAATAGTGTAAGGTTGCCACTTATTCTCGATTCTTCACAATTTATCTAAAATATCGCAATATGGATATCAAATGAAAGGTATTGTTGCGAACTTTGGTCAGAAAATATTTTCGATCAAGGTTGCCACGCTTCTATGTAATACAAATGTGTATTTTGTTAATTTCAATAAGAATTTTTTGTAAGTATACACAGTACATATATGCTCAAGATTTGTATTATTAATTCCAGCATATTTCGGAATGGGGTTGCCACCTAAATTTTAGAGCACGAAATTTACTTACTAGATATCGAAATCCATTTTTTTTCAATTTCAAAATTATTTTTTTAAAGCTATCCAGTTCTTGAAAACTTTAAAAAGTATATGCACTCAGGGCAAAGCTCGGTCAACCTGGTACTATACATAAAATCTAATATATTTTGTTTCCATATCAAAGTTATGTAGTTACTTTGAGTTATGAACTAAACAAGAAAAATGAAAGGGATATTAAATAATATTAATGTCTCTGTCAGATGTCTGTCGCTTCCTGAGAATAAAATTAAGGTCCCACGACCGCTTCCAAAATGAATTAAAAAGTAGAATATTCTTATAATTTTTTTATTTATTCAATTATGACTTCTATATTTTTTAATGTTGTTTTTAGCTAGTCGTTTTTTACTTTATTAGTAAAACTAAACTCTAAACATTTAATTTAACTAATATTACATTTACATTGGACCCAAATGCGTGATTTGAAATCAGTCATTAGAAGGTGTTTACACTACTTAATTCGCTTTTCCTTTGACTTCTTATCAATTTAAAAGGGAGAACAAAAACAAAAGGAATGTAAACACACACTGCATGCATCATTCTTTGATTAAACTAAAAATGTGTAAAGGTTATGTATAAATTAACAATTTTTATATACAAACTTCAAAGATTTATTCATTTCGTTGTCTTCGTTTTGATTTAGAAAGATTCCAAATGTCAAGCTGTAATTAGTCAAGAACGTAAACCTACCGGTACGTAAACCCGAGTCAGCCGACACGTTCTGTCTTACCAAAGCGCCATATAAATGAAAACACAACACCGCAGAATTTTTCTGTAATTGTAGCCCATAGCGCAGAAATCTGCGGAATTTAGATTTTTCCGTGTCAGCTGATTTCTTCCTTCTATAGATGGTTGCCACTTCGTCAGTTTTGCAGATGGTAAAAATGTTATAATTTCCTATTCAAAATACGTTTGAAATATTTGAAATTTACTATTGATTAAGGCTTTTGTTGAAAACTAAGTAGTTTATATTTAGTTACGATCTATTATAGCACGAAAAAATGTAGTTGAAAAGGTAAGTTTATGAAAAGGCATTGATGAGTGGCAACACTGTAGTAAGCAAGACTGAGGGCTCCAGTAATCAACAAAATTCTGCGCATACAGACTGCGTTTAAGTATACGTTCTGCGTTCTTGACTAATTTCAGCTTCAAAGACAAACAAAAGTTTCTGTTGAACTTCTGTTTCTGAGTGAGTTCAATAAAATAGTACGGCAATTGGAACGCATTTTCTTCGTGATTTCGTTTAAATGCGTTCAAATGCGTGATTTTAGAAATGCGAATTTGTATGGGGAAATGTGTAATTTGGCCAAAGTACGTAGATAATAAGAAGGGACAACTCGTTATAATTGTATCGAAATTTTGTAGTGTGAAATTTTCACGGAGTATTGAGCTAAATTGTAGAATTTGTTGATCAACTTCAAAGTCCAATATCTCAAGAAATATCGATGTTAGCGATTTGGTTTCATAGATTTTTTTTGAAGGAAATTGAACGAACGAGAATTTCATGAATGAATAGTGACCCGTACTACCTCGCTGGTGGGAGTAAGGATTACGCTGCAATGGACACTTCTGTAGAGCATTCAATTCTGAAGAAAACCCATCAGAGGCCAAGATTATACCCTAAAATACCTCAGAGCTGTAGAGTTTTGAAAAATAAATAAGTTTACGTGTAATTTATATGAGAAATCTTTGCACGCCTTGGGCGAGTACTTAATGCTAATATTAAGGTTTCAAATTTTCAGGGACATTTTTTTTAGGTGTTTTCCACAGAATTTGGAGGAAGGAGTGAAAAAAAACGATATTCGCGAAAAGAAGCACCCTAATGTACATACATACATACCAAAGCAGTTTATGTATAATAGACACATACAGCGCGGGATTTCTGTTCTATCTTTAGTATAAAACAGGATTTAGGTTGTATTTAGACGGGATTTTATTAACCCAGTTACTGGCAACACTGTGTAAAGATGCAATTTTCCCAGCTACCACTTTCGAGTTGTCTGGCGTTATTGTATTTCTCAACGCATCTTTGATTTATCTAACAGAATAAACTTCGGTTGGAATTGCTTCACGTGGATTGCCTTCGAGCTTTGATTTCAAAAATGATATAAAAGTTATATTTAAATTTTCGTCTGCAAAATCTTTAATTAAGTTAATTTTGTCTATAAACGATTCAAGTGCTAGCGGATCTCCGTTATCATTTTTCCTAATGATTGAGGCACAAAGACTAATAAAGGATTTCTTCTGTTCAGGGGTAGCCATGTCTAAAAATTCTTTAAAAATTGTCGAAATATTTGGTGCATGGTACAATAAAAACAGGTAGAAGCCAACTTAACATTAAACCTACAAAAGTCAAAGTTTTCGGGAGAGTAAAAATAAAAATGAGCGTGTGTAAGGAAAAATAAAAAATTCCATTTCACTGGTTGACGTTTTTAAGTAAATTTGAAGTTTAATTGTATTTATTTATTTTCTTTAGTTAAAATTTGTTAATTTGTTTGTTGTTTTCTGTCTTTGATTTATGAGTTGCAGTGTTGTTGGAGGGACTTTCCGGCATAAGGGTCATAGGAACAGCACTTGGCATCACACGTGCCTTTTGTACCTCCCGGTGCATTTATGAAATCTGCTGCTTTAAAATGTTTAACGCACAGCAAGGTATTTCGCTGCAGCTCTACCCCACAGCTGCTTTCCCAACGCTTCTTACGCTAAGGACATTGAGGCACGTTAAAAAATTAGTGGCCTCTGATTTATATTTAACACCACATAAAAACAAGGCTTCAGGTGCTGCATTTTTAACACATGCACTAAGTATAAGCCGCACAACACTACAAAAATTCAAATGTTAATTCAAATTTGTTTTTAACGAATATTCAAAAAAAAAACAAAAATCAAGCGACATGACATTTAAAGCGTAACGAAATATAGGAAATAAAAGAAAACCAAGTTGAAGTTTAAAGGTTTGGTTCTCATGAGAGCAAAGTCATTTTGGCTTCTACCTGTATTTATGTGCCTTGTATTTGGTGAACTGGTAATTGTTGACGGCTCGTTGGATACAATTAGCAGATCTTTAAAAGACGGTAGTGAAGTACTTCTTTTAAGAATGAATTGTACCGAATCTTCTGACTTGGCGTCACTAAATTCTTCTTCTGACTCAGAGTCAGCTATGTAAGTCTAGTTGGCAAATGAGCGATAGGCTATCAGGCGGAATCCTAACGCGACAATTCAGTTTAGTAAAACACTTCTTTACAACGGGCTAACTTCCTTGAGCTTACAGGTATTGCCGAACTATTGCCGAACAGGCCGAACTATTGCCAATAACTGGTAGTAAAATATTATTGTAAGCTGTAATAAGCGAATATTTGTACTCGTTTAACTTTTTCGCATTCGTAGACAATGGTCTATTTTGCGAAATTCGCTTAGTAATTTTATCAAAGTCTGATTTATTTGCTTTAAATTGTATATCAAATTCGCCCATAACCGGCTAATCTCAAAGAAGTGGAAGTCCAAAATTTACAAAAAACTATCGTTCACCGTGTTTTAATTAAAAAAAAAAATTTAAAAAGAAATCGAATTGTGTAATACTTATGTTTTCTTCAGTAGGTCATCGGCTGTAAATTGGCATGCAACAAGGGGTTTTCATGAATTGGGAATATCAGGGAATTTCATGCAGCACACATGCAAAGCAAAAGATTTTAGTTTAATTTAAAAATTTGTAATGATCGTATTAAAGAAAAGTAGGGTTTGTAACACATGTGCTGAGATATATGGTAAAATCTTAAATTTACACACTCTGACTTAGTGGGGTTTAATAAAAAAAGTTGTTTAATCAGCAAAGGAATTGTACGAAAAGCTGATATTAATATTTTTGAAAAATTTATGTATGAATATTTTGTAGCAAAAGTTTATGCTCGAGTCGCGTCTTGTTAAGTACTAATTAGGGATGCAAACGTTGCATCGATATTTTTGAAACATCGATAATATCGGTTCAAAATTCGATGTTTACGATTTTTTAAAATCGCTAAATTTACGATACATCGATGCCAGTTTCAGCGATGTTTTAACATCGACTTACGTTCCTAAAATTTTTTGACTGGCCATGAATTTTATTACTTATTCTTTTGAGGAACATTCTTATCTTTCGATATAAAAATGCTTACTCAGTCATTAAAAAAAACCGGGATCCGTTGAAATTTTAACGAAATTGGGTCTTCGAACTTTAGGCTCAGCAAACTTACAACGGCATGCACTTCTATTCTATTTATAGGAAGGGTAAAGGAATGGTAAATAAATACAGGGACATACATCCATGTAAGTATTTTTCTAATTGAATTACAGAGAGTTGGAACTGAAAAGTATTAAATTCTCCTTTTAATGTGACCACAACCTAACAAATTTTGAAACATCGGATACCATCGATATTTTTCTGGCGATGTATTTTAGCATCGATGTTCATTGTTCCCATGCATCGAAACATCAATGTATCGATGTTACTCCCCAAAATTTGCATCCCTAGTACTAATGAGAAAAAATTGTATGTGAAAAATTTTGATCACTTATATTCTACGAAAAATGAAAATAAAATTCACTGAGTCACTCACGTCAACTTATACCAGGGACCGTAACGGTTATGAGTTTTATTATAAAAATCACTTTTTAATCGTTATTAACTGAGTTTTATTTTTTGCTCGGAAAATAATGGTTACGTTTTAAGTTTTATTTTTTGCTCGGAAAATAATGGTTACGTT